TCACATTTTGGTCATTTTTGCTCCAAATTTGCTCTTTTTTGCATTTTTTTGCTCCAGTGACCCTAATTCATTATGCCTGCAACAAAACATAAAAAATACCTCTCTTTAAAGTGCAATATCATTAAAAATAGTATAAAATATGTATGAAAATCTCAACATCTCTTCCTTTGGTCAATAATAAAAGAATTAAATTCTTAATTTGGAAGACTTACAATATTTTTGAATTAGATAGGAACACATATTTTCATCTTTCTTAACATTAGAAATTTCCAAACTTTAAGTTGGTCTCATTTACTGAATATTTTTTCTAAATTGGACTACATATTTCTAAATCTAAATTTTAGTAACTCATAAAGAAACTCATATACATATCATACATATTTAGTTTTTAAAGATTGAAGTGTCACTTACGGACAAGTAACATTTTAAGTTTGGGGGATTTTGATATGCATAAAATATATAGTGTTTTAAACACATTTTTATACCTATTTTTTAGATATTGCGCTTTAATGGAAGATATTTTTGTATTTTTCTTTCAGGTACATGTAAAAAGTTGAAAAGTGCTTAAAAGAGTGAAAAAAGGATCAAATTTGGAGCAAATAGGTGAAAAATGTGCAAAAGTGTTTTGGCACCTAAGCTCCAGATCCGGCGCTTACGCGCCGGATAAACAGAGAAGGCCTCGCCTAAGTGTCAGAGGCCCCACGCTTAAGCGCCAGTGGCAGTTATTGGATGAGTAAATTCAATTTTTTACAAATTTTGAAGAGGTTTTTGAGGCACCTATTGGCTTAATAGGTGGTTACAACCACCATGGACAAAAACTATTGCGAAAGGATGCATCTCTTGGGGAAATACATCGAATCATGACACATTTTCAAGGTATACAAAGATATACCAAGGCGCCTTTTGGAGAATTATAAAAGAAGTAAGATTGGTACTTTGAAAGAGGTCCTGAAAGTACTAGGAAAGTTTTAAAAGTTCAAAAATTGAGGAGTTAGTTGGAGAGATTTTCAGGCACCACATATTTATTCTTTTTTTTATTTTTAGTTTTATATTGAGAGTGTTGTAAAAGAGAAGAGATTTAAAGGAACTTCAAGAGTTTGGTGGAGGACTTGAGATAAGTTTTTATATTTTGTTTTAGACTACTTTTGGTTTTAATTAAGACTTGTTGTTGGTTGTTAAACTAAAGTGTGGTTTGTTTTCTCAATGGATTCTGAGCAGCTTTCTTTATCTTTCTTCTTAAAATGATAAGTAATTAAGTGTTAGATGGAAGTTGTGGAGAGTATTGATCTTTAATATTGGAAGAAGTTGTGATGATTTAAATTCATGTACTTC